ACAGGGGAAACATGGTGACTTGAGTTCTTATCTTACTCCATCAACTTTATATCCACTTATCGCATCTGAGACTGATTGTTTCATTACAATTTGAACAGATAAGGGGGGGCATTTTGTTATATGAAGCTCTAAGACGAGACGCCATCAGAGAGCAATGAGCTCCGAGTGAATGTCTGTGCTCACTATGTTCATAGAAAATTAAACTACACCAGATTGTAGGTTTGGAAAGGACTCCAGAGACATCTTCTTGTATTAAATACTTTTTTATGTGTCGAGATGAGATTTATCATATATATATATATATATATATATATATATATATATATATATATATATATATATATGCTTGTATTCTAGTCCAAGTCTCTCAACCCAGGTCAGCGTGACCGGCTGCCGTCCACCGCGGCAGCTTGCAACACCCTGGACATGGTGACACGGGGAGCTCGTGTTCAACTCTCCCCCTGTGTGTTCTCGTAACCTCTTTGCAGGTGGTGCAGTGTCTGCCGGTGCACTGGTTCTCGGGACTGAAGGGCCAGCACACGCTGCCTCAGCTGGAGCCGTTCTGTCGCTACCTCACCCACCTGGCCAGCTCGCTGTACCGCGGCAGCTTGGGCGGGTCTGACGTCGAACGGCGCACTGCAAAGTAAGAAGCTCCGCACTGCAGTTTAATTTAGTTACAGCGCCATCTGTTGGAGTAATATATACAAGAAAAACTCCACAAACCTTGTCCTTACCGTGTCGTTTATGACCGATTTCTGCCAACAGGGACCAAGTCAAAGAGGTTGTGAAGCTGTTGGGCAACATGAACGCTCTGAACCACATCATCGCGGTGGCCGCAGAGCACGGCATCAAAGACATCAAGCCTTTTTTGGAGGCCAAGTCGTAGAGGAGGACAAGGCAACGGACCCCTTTCATACATCTTATGTCGTGATCAGCACATTGCAGTCGTGGGATCCCTATGGTTGGATTTCTATGGAGAAGAAAAACTGCATGAATGGACTTCAAATTAAACTTGACAGTTGCTACTTTGCCTGAAAGGAGAAGGCGCAAGACATGTGTAAATATTGTGAATAATGTATAGAACGCTGTGCTCACCCAGGCTCTACACAAGGCGGATGCTGAAATAAGGCCTTCTACAGTCGGCCCAGAAACACACTCTGGTTGTTCTACACGTGGAAGATATTTTAAATGGATAATTTATTCAGAATAAACAATTGTTAATGTGGGTGACTGGCATCTGTTTGGGAAATGTCTGATCTCTATATTGACACCGTAGTCAACCTGGTGATATGTAATAAATGCTTAACCCACGTCATTTCTCTCACGTTCTCTAGTCGTATTGGCAGAAAAACTTTTTTTTAAGTCTGCAAAAATGTAGGACGGTACTCTGTAATAAGAATGAAAACCTACTGATCTGACACTCAGACTCAGTTTGATATCGTTTTTGTTCACCACGTCACCCTTCAATGTCACCAACGGGCCTCCCCGATGACCCCGCCACAGCTCTGAGCTTTGTATTCAATTTTGTAAAACAATTTTGTTTTAGCGTTTTACTTGCCTGTGAATAAAGTATTCACTTGAAGGATCACTGTCTCGTTTCAATCAAGTTTGTGGCTCGTTGGAGAGCGGCCTTGCATCTTCGATTCACTTTTTTCAGAATATTTGCTTTAAGGACTCCTCCATAGAATGAATCCATCCGAATATTCAGTTTAGTTTTAAAAGAGGCTTCAAGTGAGCAGCTGTGAACGTTGCCTGTTACACGATCAAACCGCTGGATCAGGCTGTAAACATGAAACCCTTCTCATTGACGAATGAGTGTTTGATTCGAGCGGCTTCTTTCGCGGTTCCCGGCTGATGGCTATTGCGCAACCGCAATGGCGATGAGCGGGCGGGACTGCTTCCCTCCCTCCCCTTCCCTCCCCTCCTCTCCCTTCCTCCAGCTGAACGCGCAATGCAGAGCAACCCGAAACCTTAAAAAAAAAAACATTGCCAGTACCTGTAGAGGCGGACATTTAAAGTTGTCTCGCGTATGCGCGGACGGCGTTTTTTTGTTGCTGCTGTTCCAATTTACACTTTTCAGAAACCGCGAGGGAATATTTAACCGGCAGCAGCGCTTGATGCCCTCCCGCAGGAGCCACAAGGTAAATAACTCCTCGTACCAAAGCGGCGTTGCGCTTCGTGGAATGAGTTGATTACGCGCCGCGCGCGCGTGTGTATCTATGTGTGTGTGTGTGTGTGTGTGTGTGTGTGTGTGTGTGTGTGATCACTAACTTTCTAGCCTCCGTGTCCCACGCTGCACTGTATCCACGGAGCGCAGGGGAAGAGGGCACGTTAATTCCAGAAAGCCTCCACGCCGTAAACCGCATGCTCCCCTTCTTCTGCCCCCATTTTTTACTGCTCCTCAAGCGCGCGCGCCCCCCGCTGCTTTCCCGCAGCGAAGAGACGCACTACACAACCGAGTTTGCACAAATGTCCTGCAACTTTTTTGCTGAACAAGGGACGTTTGGGGGGATTCTCCGCTTAAGAGGTTTAAAGTCTTTAAACGTGGGCATGTAATATGAGCGCCGGGACCCCCCGCCCCCCAGGGGTGCGTAAAGGGGGCTGGCGATGCGCGCGAGGAAAGCTGTGGGATCTGGGGAGAAGAAAAAAAAGGGATGCGACCGTCCAGGATCCCAAACCACGAGTGATAGGTTTACACCCCGCTGGGGGGGTAATCCGGAGTGATAGCAGCAAGTGGCCATACAGAGCAAACACAACTCTACCCTCACAGTAAAGTGACAAGTACCATAAAGGACATGTGATTGGTCTGTGGTTCCATACATCCATCTATTTATGTCCATGTACCCTCTTAACGTGCAGTAAACCAGGAGAGTGTGAACAGGGTTTAAAAGCCCATACAGTGTCTCAGTGTGAAGGAGGTATGACGTACTCGACCTTCCTCGGCCTTTGAATTCACGTCAGGGTTTGACTGACAAAGCAGCTGGAAGCGCATTCAGACAGTCGATCAACAGTGTTCGGCGGAAGAAGTACCAAAGAAAAGGAAGAGACAAATCACCGACTGACTGTATATTTCCATCCTGCATGTTGCCATATTTTGACTTCGTAACAAGAGTTGACCTTTTGGATCCTGCGGGCAGGACCGGTCGGTCTAACTTTAGCTCCCCTGAAAGGGGGTCACGGGCGGGCAAGTTGCTGACTGCAGGCCTGGATGAGGCCCAAACAGAAGCCACGAGGGGGCCCGGTGTGGGGGGGTTTCAAAGTTTCCCGGAGTTGTGCAGATATCAGGCCTTAAATTCTCTTTTGCTGTATCTCAGGAAACCAGTTTGGTTTCCTCTTGTAATCCCAGGGTACCCGTTTTTTTCTCTTGGTGTGGCCCCCCCGGGAAAAAAAAAACAGAGTGCCAGTCGGTGGTTTTTTGACTTGGGCTCCCCCCCCCCCCCCCCCTCCCACCTACTTGTGGGCCAGACGGAAGCAACTGGTGCTGCAGTAAATAGCTTGTGTTGTGTACAAAACATGGATTGGAGGTTTATGATGTCGGATAATAGCAATAACACTACACACAATGTGTAGCTGTTCTTGCGGCCGGAATAGAAACTGATTGAGGTCCTGAAAGTGATCTTTGAATATAATGGGGGGAGGGGGGGGGGGGGGGGGGTCGACGATCCTTACCAGCTCTTCAGTTGTCAGGCGGTGCTACCTGGCGCGTTCCTATGGACTATCCGGATGCACTAATACTGAATATAAATGAATACACGTATGTTTCAAATACACATTTACATTTCTGCATGTCGTGCCATTTTCTCTCAGAGGAATTGGATATTGATTTTATTGAGTACCTGAATAACTGAGTACCGTGTTAATGTACTAAAGGCTAAGATGTGGATGGTTGGATTAATAAACTACTTTTTCCAGAATATTTTTTTCTGGACATCTTGGATCGTCCGTAAAGAGACAGCGTGGATTTGGCTATTTTTTTAACTGAATGGAGTAAAGGGTCAAGCTTATGCTTCCTGAAACATCCGAGTACTTCTCCGGTCCATAGCCGAAACACGTTGAGGCCACTTGTCCCTTGTCCTAAGTTACATACTTTCCCTACTAGTGTGACAAAATCCTATTCCTATATATATATATATATATATATATATATATATATATATATATATATATATATATATATATATATATATATATATATATATATATATATACAAAAGTCTATATATATATTGTGTCTGGCGCACACAGACTGACGCGTGCAACCGAGCACAGTGTGTCTCTGTGGACATGCGGTGAGACAGCGAGCAGCAGTCGACACTCTGTATGTGCATGGTGTTCTTTGAGAGAACCCACTTCGAGAGAGTGTCACACTCAGAGAGCTGGTGTATAGAGAGTGTCTATGTCTTTGAGCTGCACGAAGGATCCCAAACTATCCACACTTCATGCATACGTAAACATTCATTCAAACCTTTTATCCTTCCAACATATGAGACATTAAAAATGTGGTGGAGGTACTTGTTATGTCAATATGGGAGCATATTAATGCTATTCATTCCAAATCTCGGAGGTAGCATTAAAGAGTACTCTTTAGTTTTCCTGAATGTCAAGCAGTGTCATGTTTGTGGTGCACTTTCATAGGTTGCAAAGGATCACACCCTCTATTCCGCCCCCCCCACTGAAGGGCACTGCCTTTTCCTTCTGCTGTACTCTCTCTACCCTGGTGTATCTGTGCATGTTGCAAGTTAAGAAAGGGCCATCATTGTCTAAAGTCTGGAAGTTTGCAAGGCTATTTCCTCTTGAAAACCCCCCACAAATTATTCCTGTGGTGTTACTGTGTAAAGATGTACATTTCGATGAATTCAAACAGCGTGCATGAGTAGGAATGTGTATTTCTGAAACCAATGCAAAGACTTGTCTGGTTGCAACCAGTTACATTGCATCACTTTTGGGTCCTAAAGACGTAGTTGCTGCTTTTGCAGATCGCGTGTTCCATTTCTGGAGCTCCACCTCCGTACTTACAAAAGATCTTACCGGTTGCAACGTTAGTATAACGGTATAAAATATGTGCCTTCAGGTTTTCATGCTCCGCCAAGTCCTGCCACATTTTGACTGCGCTCGTGTGTACATGTGTGCGTGTGCTGCTTCGAATAGCAAAGCCATGTGATTCTTTCCAGGTTCTATTTCAGAGCGCCTGCCGTCAAACGCTCTGCACTCTTCACAGAAGCTTTAAGAATGGTCAACAAATGTGCCGTTTAATCCCTCGGTCCGCCACTGTTTTTTTTGTCAAAGTTTCGCTCTGATCAACAGGTGAACCCTTTTTCCAGGGGGTTCGAAGTAAGTACTCCATGTAGTTCCTCATTCTGCCTTCCTGGAAAAGGTTTTTATTGGGATTTCGACATTGATCGGCGGCATCGACATTGAGTATCTCATTGTACCTTCTTATTTTAAAAAACACATAACATTTTTAGGAATAGCCGGATGTCCTTCTCTTATGTGTCAAATCCAGGTCAGTGATGGATCATGTGGTTCATGCAGGCTATTTCCCTCTGCTATGTGCATGCATGCATATGTGTGTGTGTGTGTGTGTGTGTGTGTGTGTGTGTGTGTTCCTGGATATTTGGATAACTTTCGTTAATGACCTTCCAGGGTTTAACAAAAACAGCCCGTTGTAATAATCAGCTACTTATTTATTTGGGTGGAATAATAACTTACTGTAAGCGTGGGTTCAGCAGTTGTGCTGCTTCTGGTTTCCAGTAATTTGTAGACTATTTGTGCAAACAGTGGTTTCCCTTTGCATACCATTTATTTTTTGGACGTGACCACGGGAAGTGAGACAATGCAACACAAACATCATTATGGTCCCATTTAGTTTTTTCTACGAGGAATTTTATTTGGTAATGACCACCTCCAAGACTCACCCATATATCCATCAAGTTCCAGCATATGTTTGGCTATTAGTGCATTTATTGTTTTCTATATTGAATGTTTTTTATAAGAACAACAGAAACTATTTAAAGTTTGTCTTTTTCTTTAAATACAAAGTAAATTCATAAAATGCTCCATCAATAAGTTTTAATAAAATGCACATGATTGGGTTGTAGGCCTCTAATGGCATAAAATGATTCATTTTGCGTCGTTTTTAAAGAAGATCTAGCGAGCCTCACTGACTAAAAGCAGCATAATTTATTCAATATGACACAGTGCACATAATGGGACCTTTGCAGCACTTAATAGAAGATGCAGGTGGAACAGCCAAAAATCTCCAGTGCACATGTAAGCATATATTCAGGGATTTTATTAAAAAAGAAATATATATATATATATATATGTATGTATTACTTTCCACATGTTGCCCAATAGCATCTGACCCTGGAAAGAATGGAAAAAAGGCCTCACGGTTGTCACCTTATCTTACCCTTGTGTTGAAGTGTGACGCAACTGTTGTACCGTCCACATGACCTTTCTGGGTTAATAATGTCCTCAAGTGGAAAGCCGCCATTATTTCTAAATGAGCCAGGCCGCAACCGAACTTGCATAGCTGCAGGATATTGTTTATACCCCCACCCCGCCGTCTTTCCTATCTCCATTCCTCTCTCCGCCCTCTCTGGGTCAATATCAAGAATTACCTCTCAGTCTGCGAGATCACCCCTGGGGAATGTGAATGACATGTTGGACAGACCACTGACCCACAGTATCTTCTCAGCAACCAGGAAAGAGGTCTTACAGCTGCTTTACGACTCCACAGGGTCGAGGAAGTTTCATGCATTTTCAAACGGCTGAAAATGGTGGACCGTCCCGGTTGTACCATTGCAGCGGTAAATAGTAACGGTCGATGTCTTCTCTTCAGCTGTACGTGGAATAACGCAATGTAGGGAGTCTCGCGCGTTTCGAGGAAAGTGTTTTGTTCTGTGTCACGACGAGCCAGGATTGCCTTGAACGGTGCGTTCGTGGGATCGGCCTCCTCTCCCGTGAGCTTGGTTACACATGTCAGCAACACACCCAGCAATAAGATGGATTATCCCTGTAGGCTTCTGTTTTTTGTCCGGCAGTCACACATTGTGGATTTGGATTTCGTTATGTAACCCCGCAGGAAGCAGTGTTCTATTTGCAAGTTCCTCAAGATTGTGCAACCCCCTTAATCGATGTGCGACCATGTGCTCATTGAAATACTGATACAAAAGGTTGTGCTGCTATTTTAAAGCACTCTTATGAACCAGAAGTGTGAGGACCTTTTAAATTCCCTTCTCCCTTGCTAGGTTGTGTGTGACCTCTCCCCCTCCCTACTGTGACCTCTGGACCCTGGTCAACCTCCTCCCAGTCGCCAAGGTCCGACTGTGATCCATGGCGCTGAAGAAGCTCGTGGGATTCGGGAAGCAGTTGCTGCGGGTGAAGGTGGTGGACTGTAACACAGAAGACTCCCGTCTGTCCCGATGCCTCAACACGTTTGACCTCGTGGCCCTGGGCGTGGGTAGCACGCTGGGCGCTGGCGTCTACGTGCTGGCCGGCGCCGTTGCGCGGGAAAATTCAGGTAAGCCGACAGCCCAGCGGATCGGTAGACGAGACAAATCTTAAAGCCTCTAAACATCTGATATCTATTGTCCCTCCCCAACCTTCCCATAGGTCCTGCGATTGTGCTGTCTTTCCTGATAGCAGCACTAGCATCGGTGCTGGCGGGTCTGTGCTATGCGGAGTTTGGGGCGCGTGTTCCCAAGACGGGCTCAGCTTACCTCTACTCCTATGTGACTGTAGGGGAACTGTGGGCCTTTATCACTGGATGGAACCTCATCCTCTCCTACATCATTGGTAAATCCTTGGTCACACTGATAGTGAAAGTGAGTGAGAGGGTACGACAAACCAAAAGCATCTCACCTCAAGTGGTCTTTCTCCACCTCAGGTACCTCCAGCGTGGCCCGAGCGTGGAGCGCCACCTTCGACGAGTTGGTAGGCAAGCGCATAGAGCAGTTCTGCAGGGAGTACATGTCCATGAATGCCCCGGGTATATTGGCAAAGTACCCTGACATGTTTGCCGTTATCATCATATTCACCCTCACAGGTAGGGAAAACTTTTTTTGCCCCCCCCCCCCGTGTCACAGAGAGCTTACTTGACTTTGCTAGTGTGCTGTGTTCAACAGACAGTGCAGTTGCAGATATTCAATACAGATGTTCTATCTATGTCTCCCTCCATTTCCTTAGGTCTTTTGGCATTTGGAGTCAAGGAGTCCGCTATGGTGAACAAGGTCTTCACATGCATCAACGTCCTGGTTTTGCTGTTCATGGTGGTGTCCGGCCTGGTCAAAGGAACTCTGAAGAACTGGCAGCTGGACCCCGAAGAGATCCTACATGCAAATTACTCTAGTAACTCCAGCCTCAAGTAAGAATGTGGCTCCACACACTCACGTTTATATCCAAGACGCTCTGGGAAACAGGATACGTTTGATTCTACCCTTTTCAGCCGGACGACACTCCGCACTCAGCAAAGGTTGTTCATGCGGATATTAACCATTCTTTTGTTGTTGTTCCTGATCAGTGTGACAGACATCCTACCAACCAGAGAGAGTTTAGGAGCGGGCGGCTTCATGCCGTTCGGTTTCTCCGGCGTCCTGTCGGGAGCTGCTACCTGCTTCTATGCCTTTGTCGGATTTGACTGCATCGCCACCACAGGTCAGTGCCAGAAAACTGACTCCGTTAGCCCCGTTATACCTTCTGTTGCTTTATCGGCTGGGTCGGTTTGTGAGTGAGGTGTTGCAACTGAATCCGTAGTTGTGACCATTTCCATTGTTCCAAGTTTGTTTAAACTTCCATGAGTGTTACATAAGAGAAGGACAGTAAAGAGACAGTTTAGTGAGTTGGACCCAGCGTTGTCATGCAGGTTAATGTTAAATGTTTTTTCACATTGCCAACCCAGACCTTTTAAATTCATGTGTGTAGTTCCGTTTAAACCGATTCGAGGCCACTATATTCTAAAGGAAAGATGGCTGGTATCTAACAGGTTACCTGTCCTTCTAGTTTGCCTGCTCTCTGGACCCCCAGCTCTTCCCACCCCCCCTTTTCTTGAATTCGTATTGGGTGGTGTGAGAGTTGAGGCTAAAGGATTTTCTTGAGTTTAGCTTGTGGAGGCATGTCTGTCACACACAACATACACACACCCTCAGCCCGCCCTAAACCTTTACATCGGTATTTGTGTATTGAGGTCACTAAGAGGTAAATTGGCACCAAGCCCTTACGCCCCCTCCCCCGCCCCACATACATCCACACAATTTTTACCCCTTATGCATGTTACCCATGACCTTCCTAAAAACAGGGTCCATCAGGAGAGGTAATTAACGGTGATGTCAGTGTGGAACCAGAAAGTGTTTTCCAGCCTCTATTCTCTGTGGATTCACTGCAGAACAAGACGCGAGTGTTCCACCCAGGAGCTCTGTTGCATAATCACCTGCAGCTGAATGCTTGGGTGTTTCCGTCTTGTGGGGGGCAACAGGACGTTAAGCCTCAGCGTGTTGCGAAACTGTGCAAAACTCTCTCCACAAATGCTTTTTTTAGATTCGCCAATGGGAGAATGTTGTTTCCCGTTTGACAGCACGCGCTTGCAGCATTTCGGTTTGAGTACTCTTCATACTCTTACAAAATCCCAGTGTTTCTTTTGGCTAGTTATCTGGAGATCGTAAATATGGAACGCTCTGTAGCTAGAGCGGATGGTGCAAAATAAAAATCTCATCCTGGACTAGATAAATAATCCATCTAAAAGTTCAGTTCAGTTCTTGAAATTTGAAAAAGGCCAAACTAATTATTTTTTTATAAATGTCATGATTGATTGTTTCTGTTCCTCGTATACGCCCCAGGTGAAGAGGTGAAGAACCCCCAGAGAGCCATCCCCATTGGCATCGTGTCCTCGCTGCTCATCTGCTTTGTGGCGTACTTTGGGGTTTCTGCCGCCCTCACCCTCATGATGCCATACTACCTCCTTGACAACAACAGCCCTCTGCCAGTAGCCTTTAAATACGTGGGCTGGGGGGGAGCCAAATACGCTGTAGCTGTAGGCTCTCTTTGTGCTCTGTCAACTAGGTAAGCAGTTACACACACACACACACACACACACAATATGTGGTATATGGTATATGGTCCGTGTATGTACGCTATTATGTAACTCATGTCAACAAAGGCCACCACATGCACAAAAATGGTTGCGTTATTCTAAACACATGCATTTTTTGAATGCCTGTGCTATGATCTAGAATTCTTACATCTCTGCATGCCACTATTATTCTTACTCTACTTGTTTTTGCACAATTTACAGTATATCATGGTATATAAACGTTCTGTATAATGTTGCTTGTGTCTGTGAGCTAGTGTCTCTGTTCATGTACGTCTCACGGCATTCTGGGTGTAAGCGTGGACGCTATATTTCCTGGCCCCCCCCCTCCCCCATGTTAGCCTGCTGGGTGCTATGTTCCCTATGCCCCGTGTGATCTGGGCTATGGCCGACGATGGGCTGCTTTTCAAGTTCATGGCCGAGATCAGCCCCCGCACCAAAACCCCGCTAACCGCAACCCTCACCTCTGGCGCAGGGGCAGGTGAGACACTAACACGCATGTTTTAATCAGCATCCATTTCCAAAGAGGCTTCTTTTTAAGCTGCTGGTGTGAGTCAAAGAAAAAAAAAATGCTCTGGTCTGCCGATTGCAGATTGTATATAAACGCTGTCATGAAGAAACTTGCCAGTAATCAGCACTCCAGCATGGAGGGGGCTTCGCTCACTGTCATGGCCAGGTCCTGTGTAGTCGGTTAAGGCATGCCACTAATACGGGTCGGGGGTCGGTGTTGTGGGAAGGAATTCTAAACTAAACTGCTTGCTGAAGTAACCAAATATTTCTATTTTTAACAAATGGCGAGTGAAATGCATGTGGGACACCATATTTGCTATTTCAGGGAGAGACATTTTGCATGCTAGGATTTAAAATATCTTCGCTCCAGCTTCGCGCCCCAGTTCGGTGTCCCGCTGCTCGCGCCATTCGGGAATCTGCAGCTACCATCCTTGCCAAATGTATTTCTCTCCTTTATCTAATTTCTACCCTACTGACCTCTTTCCATCTGTCCTCCCCCACTTTACCACCACCCCCTATAACTGTCGTCCCAACCTGATGTTCCTCCCCCACCCAACGCCTCCCCAGTCTGTTGGGCTCCATGTTCCCACTACCCCGCATCATCTTTGCCATGGCTCGGGATGGCCTGCTCTTCTCCTTCCTGTCCCGTGTCAGCGAGAGGAAATCCCCCTTAACGGCCACTGTGGCCGCTGGGGTTATGTCTGGTAAGATTGTTAAATTGGGACCGGTAGGGGAAAGCGGGGCAGAGAGAGAGGCCGTCAAGGGAGGAAAATAGGATGTAAAAGTTGTAAATGTTGAATGAAAGAAAGACAAGAGCAAGCAAAAAAAAAAAAAAAAAAAGGAGTACTACGTGCACAATCCGCTTTGACCTTTCTGTCGGCTGTTTATTGGATGCTATTATTTGGCCCAAATGAGTGGCTGTTATCATCTAAAGGTGCAATGTTTACATGGCAAGAGTTCATTTCAGGCAAAGCAAGTTACCAAACTATTTTCTATGTGTGCCGTTTGCTGACCTTTGCGCTGTGATAATCGTAGTATGCGAATGTTTACACAATGTTTACCCTGGTTCACCGTAGAATGTTAGATGGGCCGAGTCATTTAAATCTCACGTGTGTTTATGGAACACCTTGAGAACACATTACGGGCCTCTCTATATAATTTTCTTATTGTAGCAAAGGTCCGGAGCATCAGACAACTCTTCTAATTTTGTTCCCCTTTCTCTCCTTTCATCATCCTGCCCGTTGAAGCCATCATGGCGTTCCTGTTCGACCTGAAGGACCTGGTGGACCTGATGTCAATAGGGACGCTGCTGGCCTACACTTTAGTGGCTGCCTGTGTGCTGGTGCTCAGGTCAGTGGGGGAGTAGACATATGTCGAGGGTCTCCGGGCACGGGGGTTTGCTTATAATGTATCTTATTTATAGCAAGTTGTAAATTCGTTCGTTGGAGTTCGTATCCTCACGGTTGAAATGCACTTACTGTAAGTCGCTTTGGATAAAAGCGTCAGCCATGTAATGTATCGTGTGTGTGCTTCAGGTACCAGCCCGAGCAGCCCAGTCAGATGTATGAGATGGCCAATACTCAGGAGGAGGTGGAGCTGAGTGACGGCATCAGTGTCCCCAGTATGGGCATCCTGCCCGGGGTGGAGGAGAGATTCAGCTTCAAAACCCTCCTGTTCCCAAGTAAACACGAGCCATCCACACTGTCCGGCTTCTCCGTCAACATCTGTGCCTCTCTCATGGGTGAGTGATTGAAGATTCAACGGATTCAAAGGTCTTCACCGAGTCCTGGATGGGGGGGGGGGGTGAAAACCAGTTAGCTGTGTTCTTGCGCAGGAACGTTGATCCTGGTGTTCAGTGTACTGGCAGTGCATGGAGGCTTTGCCGTGTGGAACGTCGTGGTACTCTGTTTCATCTTCATGGCTTGCCTCCTCCTCACCTTTATCATCTGGAGACAGCCTGAGAGCCAGACCAAGCTGTCCTTTAAGGTTTGATTTTTGGGGGGGGGGGGGTTTGTTCCAACGCTACCTGCGACTCTTACCCTTTGGCTTACTTCCTCTTAACGCATTGCTTTCTTCATTATGATACTGGACTCTTTAGGTTCCGCTGCTGCCCTTCCTTCCAGTGATCAGCATGTTTGTCAATGTTTACCTGATGATGCAGCTGGACAGGGGTACTTGGATACGGTTTTCTTTCTGGATGGCTATAGGTAGGCGGCGTCCATTTCCAACATCATAACCGTCTCCCCAGCAGGAATAGTTGCAGCAACTGTATCGATCTCTGGCTTTTCAGGGTTCGTGATCTACTTCTGCTACGGCATCCATCACAGCGCCGAGGGCGCGCTGGCCCGCTCGTCCCCGGAGACCGAGATGAGCAAGTGCAGTCGCAATTCAGAGGCGTCGCCAGAAAAGGAGGCCTTCTTGAGCAACCACATTGATGACAAGGAAGACGACGAAGATTTGTAGGACGCATTAGAACCCGCCGGCTACATTTCGACCTCCCCTGATGCTGGTTTGTCCGTCTGAAAGTATTTTATAGTACTAACTTACAGTACTCCTTTTAAAGTGATGATGAATAACTTTGACCCTACTGTGACTTTCCCTCTTGGCTGCTGGGTAGGAAACAAAAAGACTGGATATTACCCAAAAGCAGAGCTTCTTGAGATGATTGACATGTCCTCTTACGTTGGTTATCAGCTCGTTACCTATTTTTGTTTGGTCTTGAGCTCCAACTGCTTGTTATCACATGGCATTATAATGTCTGGGTGTTCCAGGGAGGTTGCTTACTGGCACAAGGACTTGTTGCACATGTTCTCACATCTTTTTTTTTTCTGGGTGCCAGGAACAGAAATGCTGTCCATGTCGTCTTTTTTTAGTTTTTGTAAAACAAAACTATTGAACATTTATTTCTGAAAAATAAAAACGGTCCGTTTTGAGTACAGATTGGTACAAATACTCTCATGTCACCGATAGGGGGAAAGATGTTCTAGCCGTACTCCCTGACAGGTGGGATCTTACGCAATGCGCCGTAAAATACCTGTCATTGTCACCATTGTCTGAAGTCCCAGGCTTTTACTTGTGATTGTAGTTAATTTTGTTATTTGGGGATGAACCCTGCTGCAAATTGTAATGCAGAATCCGTTGTGTCAAGACATTGTGTTTGACAGTTACCTCCGGTGACACACAGATCCAGTCTTGACAGCAACATTTTAAAAATCAAGCCATCAAACTGTGCAATAGTTTATCTGATTTGTGGTTTTAAATCCGCTTCACAGTAATAATGGCGTTTTTTTAAAATACACTGTTCGATATTCAACACCCTTTGTAAATGAATGCAATCTGGATGCTACCTGTTGAGCATCGAGACATTGACAGTTGCTGAACGTCAGTTATTGTCGAGTAACATTAGATGACGGGGAGTTTTCACAGTGCTGGCTGCTGTGTGTTTTTGCAACGGTGGCTTGTAACATTTAGGTTCTCTCCTTCAAAAGGTTCTACAGGCCAACTTTTATTTTCTTGAAATGTTACATTTGGAAGAATGTTTTTGTTTTCAATTAGTTATGAATGTCTTTATATCGCCCGCTTTGTAAAACACTACCAGTGTGCCTTTCAGGTTACACATCTGATTCAGTTTGAATGAATGCTGTTAAGCAAAAGCCCGCGAATAATCTGATCAAGTAGAAATTTGCAACACATGTAAATGTATAATATCAGTTGTTGTTTGTCATTAAAAGATCTAATGCTTTTAGATACATTTTCTCCGTTCATTATAAGTACTAAACTGGTTCAGCATTGTTCATGGCCTTCTCCTCCTCTTCAAAACCCGGCCTGCACGTACCCACATTGCAACCTGAGTGGCATTTGAGTCCGATTCGAGTGTCTGCTATTGACTGATATTGCGTGTGTCCTCCAGGGTCAAGGAGAGATGAGGTGAGCGCTTCAAAGGTCGGATACGCACACTTCCCTCCACGTCCAAACCGATGAGATTGTCATTTTCAAACTTTTACTTTTCAGGCCTACAAGATGATTCAAGGCACATCACTTAAGGCAATTTGTCTCAGTTAAAACCGACTTTGTGGGGTGAATTTTCTGGATTTTTCAACCTTTTAAGTGCATTCTCTGTCGTTATGTCTTTTACAACAAAGTGGCCATCTTAAAGTATGAACATGTTAAATAAACATTATGTTTAAAAATATATAGTTGATATTTCTCGCAGCAAAGTATTTGTATATTTGAGAAGGGCTTACATTATGTTGCCCTGTTTATTTCTGCCCTTGAGTTGCTGATACAGTGTTTAAATGATCTGTGCAACTGAAACTTCATCCTCGGGGTTGGAAAAATCCCTGCCCAGCTTCTTTTGTCATGACTTTGGTGTCATGGTGGACCTCATTAGAAGTGTAATAATGTGAGTTTACATTGATTCTTTCTTTTTAGGGGTTTTGGTCACCTGTGTCCCAAACATTATACTATTTCTTTTATTGCAACCAGTATAGCCTGACTATCACAGATAGTCAAAACATCATTTTAAGAATTATTTTACCTTTAAAGAAATTTAAATATTTCTCTATATAACAACAATGTAATAGCAATTACCATTGATTTGTGTTAAAAGTCACGCACTTTGTTCACTGGATTAATTCATTTTTCCAGACATGTCATGCCAAACCTCAGTGTTCATACACACAATGTGTATACACACATACAAACAGATAAAATAAGCTTATTTCTTTCACTTTTGATGCTGCTTTAAATGCCCATCGATCTTAGTAAACCTTTTACATAACACGTGTCACATAATAGAGCTTTTGATGTTTCAAACTTCATCACTAGTGTTGATGCCCGGTGGCTTCATGTTTAATTCGTTTTGCTAGGATTTCCTCACGTTCAACCTTTTCTTTTCCTTTTTTTGCTAACAGAACAAAATCAGTTTATGTTTCTGGCACATCCATGTTTCCTCATACAGTACCTCACAGCCTTCTTCCCCAGATGGACAATAGTCAGTGTATCAATGCCGACATGGACAAGGGAGTCCAAGGAGTCACGGCTACGTGTTTGAGGGCAGAAACAAAATTGAGAAACTCCATCCAAAGAGGAAGATCATGAGGTGAACCTAAAATCTGGGGAATGGTCTAGTTATGGGGCCTTGTCTTTCTTTTCTTTTTGTCAAAGTGCATTCTAGTGTTGTCTATATCTACAGCACCTTAAAGGGGATTTCTTAACTTTGCATGAGGGCCTGAAGGCTACTCATGGATTATCTTTTTTGGTTTTTCATAAAAAATGTACACCCAATCCCATTTAAAAAGAAAAATCATCACAGCAACTCAATATCAGTGTCAACACAGCATTGTCTCCTTACCATCTCTTTTTTTTTGTTCTTAAAGTACATGTTTTGTGCATCGCTCATGTAAATAAAACATACTTTTCAACATCCAGACTCTTTGCATGGGGTTTTATTTTGAAATCCACGGATTATGGACTTCTCGTGTGATCCAGCAGAGAGCGCTGTGACAGAGGGACACAGAGATGGAGAACTGAACCAAGCACACGGATGCTCTGCCAGGTGTCGGCTGCAGCATCAGCACCGCTCCTCCTCCTGTCTGCAGCATCTCCCTCTTCTCCCATTGCGAGTGAGAGAGAGAGGGAGAGAGAGGGAGGAAGGGAGGTGGGGGGGAATGTTTGGGTTTTGCTGATGCCACCAACTACATTTGAGAGGCGCTTCTCTTCCAAAAAGCAGAAGGTAAGTCGCGGAATTGAAAATACAGCCGGAGGTATTTCTTCTTTTTGAAGCCCCCGCGTTGTTTCTTAGGGATTGGCGCCGGGCTTATTGCCCCACATGCTTCGTGCTCTCGGGCCGAGAATCGGGGCGCGCGGCGTTTCCTGGAGAAAATATGGATTTATTGGGGCAGCTTTGCGGGCCCCGGTGCAGTCCCGTTTTTACCTTTCCCCACCCGGTGTTGACCCCCCCCCCCCCCCCCCCCCACACACACACAAAGAGAAAAGTGGTACGGAAGTTTAACCGCAGACCGTAAGTGGAGCAGTGGGCCGCGGGGGAGCAGCGTGGTTTGGGGAGTGGGGGTCAGACACGGAGGAGCAGGTTGCTGTGATTGATGGAGCAGGTCGCTGGGTGATGCTAATGATCACATGTAGAGTATTCGGGCTTTAGAACAACTCCAGCTATGATCCACTGTACTGAGAGGTGACGACGAGGGTGACGCCGGTAAGACCTTTGGGTTGCTTTTTTTTATGGGAATGGTTATTTGTTGTTTGTATTTATTAGGCTACACCGTCTTGCAGGATTTTTGTAAAATTGTCTAAAATGAAGCAAAAAATAATTCATATTTCAAAGCTTCAATCCTTCACATTTATGTATATTGTTCTTTATGTCTGTTATGCTGACTCAGACTCTTAACAATGTAATCGAAGGATTTAGGGAGCACGAGTAGTATTTAAAGAATGTTAAGTTTAACTTTTCAGTCTTTTCAGTCGTTTACTCCACCAAAGAAATATGTTTGTACAACATATTTGGCCATGTGTTATTTATATTCCTGAGTAATTATTTAGCATCTTCCAACTCAGATGCAAAGCCAGAGGAGTCACACGCACACGTGGTTTATTATTTTGTTTGTGCTTTTGTTACTTTTCCAAGAATCCCTTCATTTCGCGTCACCTTTAGGTTACTGAGACGGGAGACGGGGTGAATCAAGTGAAGTCGGGCAGGTTTGTCGGAATGTCTTTCACATTCTGTGTGTGTGTGGTTCTGACTGATCCGTGTCTGATGACCAGGTCGCCGTTGAGACCGTGTGTCAGTTGAATTGTCTGGTGCCACCACTGATCCTGTAATATCGGAGGCGTCCCAAGTCTGTTCGCTCTTGCAGACCATCAAAAGTCAGCACAGCTTGTGGCCTCGGCTGCAGCTGCTGTATACTCTGATGCATATGAGATTGATTCATTACATCTGACCTCTGCCATGTCTGAACAGCGATCAATTCAGCAGAGCTCTGCCAGGAAAACCACTCGCAGCAGTGTGTGTGTGTGTGTGTGTGTGTGTGTGTGTGTTTTGTTGTAGTGCCCAGTCTCAGGTGCTTCTGTGTTTGTGTGCGTGTGCCTGTGCAGGTACAGTTTGTCAGTTTGACACCAAGCCCTTGATTGTAGTGCTCGGGTGCAACCTTCAAGGTCGTTTTATAGGACAGAAGAGGGGAGGAGGAGGAGGAGGAGGAGCAGGAAGGACAAATTCAAATGATGAGTGAAGTGAAGGAGAAGAGGTGTAGAAAAATGTCAACATCCATTCCAATGTTTAGGTCTGTGTTTTCTAATTCATTGTTATTTGTACAAAAGTGTTGTGTTAATTGACAGTAAAATGATAAACATTTTATTTGTAAAAATGAGCAAAGCGTGGAGAAGATATAAAACGACAGTATAAGGGGAGGAGGCTTCAGCTATTAAACTGACCTTTGTTGCGACTCATAATCAAACAATTTGGAGGCTTCTCTTTGCTTAAGGACGGTACGCGTGTGTGCGTGTGTGAAAAAGTGTCAACACATGCAAACGCACACTCTCCAATTTCACGCCGTCTTTGTCTGGAAGGTGGCAATGAGCTTGTTTTAGCTCCTCCCCTGCAGTCAGAGGCGGGACATCGGTGGGTGAGGAGAGAGAAACGCCTCTGCTCATTCAATACACACACTTCCCTCTCCTGCAGTCAACATGGAAGGCCTTGTTCACGTGTGTATGTGTGTGCATCTGTTTTCTAAATTTGTGCAATCACAAGTGCCCCTTTTTTTCTGTTTCCAATTGTATCTGAATTCAAATGTGTCAACACGGGAGTGAAGCTAAACAGAGTGCAGGAGTATTTCTGTGAGGATGGAGCAGAGAGTACTATTCTCGACGTGACTGCAAAAAAGCTACGGGATCATGTATTTTTTATGATACCCTCTGCAGACTATGCAAACATTAAAAATAAACTTACTCTTTAGAACGGCAGCATGTTTGAATCTTTAAACGGACACTCTTCTGGAGTCCTTTGCCCCGTCCGAGAATAGTCTCTCGCCTTCCTTTGTCCCGCGTGTGAAAACTGTCTTTTTGTGACACCCACACATCCGCTGCAAACCATTACCATATCCTTTTTTTTGTATTTCACACCATGACCATCCCCAAAAAACCTCAGCTCATGCTGTTCTTTGCTCACCTCTCACTGATCCTTTGCCAGTGTTCCCTCCCCCACGCCCCCGGGGTTTGCCACTTTACATATGCACACACACACACAGACTCACACTCACACATTGCGTTCCAAATTAAAATCTCAAACATCTCATCCTCGCTGCCTGCTCTCTGCAGCCTTGTTGATTTATTTTATCATATTTTCCCAGAAGAAAAAGAAGTGACTAAGGCGCTCTAACCCGACACTCAGGTTTCTCTTTGTCTGGGCTGCTTTACCTCACCAGCTTTAAGTCTGACTCTGCGTGTGTGTGTTTTTTTGTGTAAGCATGTGCAATTCTCTTGTTGAAGTCTTTGTCTGCAACTGCTTTGCATTTGAAGTGTACTCCGTTCCTCTCCTCTTTGTCCCCACATACAGTCATGCAAGAGTTAACATTTTCCTCTGCGACAGGAGTAAGGGTAGTGGGTGGAGGGGCTTTGCTAATAACAAAGCGGTGCAACCAGCGACCATCGTGGACAGACACTGTCTCTCTCTCTCCTCCATGCCGTCCCTGTCTGGATCTATGGTTTAACTGCAGGGCTCAATGAACCAATAAACACACGTATGATGACTTCCTCCCAATTCTCTCCTCCAGCCTCCAGCAGTCAGTGTATTTCTAATCACGCTAATCTCTTAGCAGCTCCCCCTATTCTTTTCCTTCCTAACTCATTTTATTGCCGACGCTATTTCCCTGCACATTTGTCTTTTCTTTATCCATCTCAGCTACAATCCTCGCGGCCTGCGCACAGCGCGGAACAAAACCAGGCAGGAAAAGCAGGACCATGCCGGGATTTAGTGGAGACTCATAACAAAAGTAAACAATAATAATAAAGGAGATCAGCGAGCCCTCGTTTTCTCATGGTGAGAAGCTGCCTCTTTGTCTCTGCACCTGCTGCAGCGATATATATATACCCCTCAGAGTGTGTGTTTAGTTGCTTCTCATACCACTGTATGTGTAACTTTGCACGCGCATGTGCAAGTGAACATTGAGTTTTCATTTAGAAAAAGTGCCCCTTTTAGTTTGTGCTCCAAATGTTCATCTTGATGCGTTTCTTTTTAGCAGTTTGTTAACAGGACAAGAGACAAGCCTTGCATAAATATTCCTGATTTGATGGATGTGTGAACCATTTTTCATTTTGCTTCAGCGAATGAAATATATCATTTGCATATTGGGACTTTCAGATGACTTCATATGAGGTCGCACATCCCGTCAGTCCGCGTGCAATGTGGATATAAATCAGCTTTTATTGCAGATGATCTGATTTTCTCATTCTCTTTATTGGGTTAGGTATGACCACCCACCCTGACCCGAGATCCCAAAGAAATCCTGTTACAGTTCCCCCCCACCCCCCTGCGATACAGAATGACTTCCCCCTGGGGTGCAAAGCGACGTCCGACTGTATGTGTGGGAGGGGAGTGGGATGGAGCGAGACAGAGGGGGAGAGAGGAGAGATTATTTTGGCCCATGTGGTCTGCTGATGTGCCGTCTATAAGGGTGATAATGGGATTGATCACCTTGCCCTGCCCTCATTAACTGTGTATTATAAAGATGGAAGACAAGAGGGAGGGAGGGAGATGAGACGGTGAAGAGAAAGAGACAGACATGAAAACCTTCTTTGAGAAACCAATAAAACTGATGCTGGGAGTTATTTTGTGCTGCCGTCAGGGAAGCCATAGTCATAGAAAGCAGCCCTGTTGTTGCTTTTTGATGCACATCTGAAGAAGAAATACAGAGCAACTTGAGGATACCACCTCTCGATACTTCCCCGCTCTGCTTCACTGTTCTCTGTGGTGGTGGTGGTGATCCCTGTGCATAGTGAGCTGTTGCTAGGTTCACACATACAAACACTACAGTTCAGTGAATTCTGCTCTACTCTGTGACTAATGTGTCTTCTGTGAAAACAGAACTCTGAGCTTATTTTAGTGCTATTTCTCTCTCCGTTGTATCGCTGACAGAGCTGGGAGGAGAAGGAATGGATCACTAAAGCTTAGCTCATTTCTGAATAGACTTACTAAGCTTCATCCCGCTGGTTGTGTATGAACATAATCCAAAGTACAAGCAAAAGGAATACAATAATTTCCCAAAATGGACAAGAGGGTGGTGTTTGTTTGCAGCATTTGCCAGTTTATTAACATGGAGTGTCTACCAGCCTTAAATATATCCACATTTATATGGCAAACACACACACACACACACACACACTCACGCACACCTAACGCAATAAAGGAAGGTGTACAAGG